CTCGTACAACAAGTACAAAATTATCTTTTGAGAGAGGAACTTTTAAGGTTAGGAGAGTCATGGACAATTGATCACCATTTAAAACATTAACTAACATGTGTTTCAGTAATTTTCTATTTTCTACATAACCTCTATTCTATACAACCTCTATTCTATACAACATTTTTCTTTTTTTGTTTTAAACTTTAATTCTTATCTCTCCAGTCCAATGACCACTGAAATCGAGTGACTGAGTCACGCTGCCGTATACAACTATCCTTCATATTGGATTCGTCATGTCGAAAATAGATTCGTGACGGGTATAATATCTTATTTTATAAGAAACGCTCTTGCATAAGGACTAGTTTTTTGATCGGAAGTAAATTATTTCTGTTAGTAAAAACAAATAATTGTTTTAGTACTATCTACAACCTGTCTTCAGGTCAAAATACAAGAAGATTGTCAATATAAGAAGATTGTCATAAATTATTATTTGAAAAGTGTACTGGTACATTGGATTTCGTACTTTTTTTTATAATTTGTGTTTACTGGGTAAATAGACTTAAAAACGATTAGATCAGTTGAAAAATACATCTTTGTTTGAAGTATATGAATGCTGATAACAATATACTTTTTTTCTCTCATGATTTATAAGCTTCCTTTACTAGCCTTGAAATGTTACACAAAATTTCTAAATAGATAAAGGTACTGTCGGTTTTTAAAATTTCAAGTGATTAGCTTCTATTATAGGGTAAGATAGAGAGTTATTCTCCTTCAAGAGTTATAAATTTTACTGATTTAGTCCGTTTATTTTGTATTTTTCCCACTTCATACACCTCTTCAGTAGAAAAGTCGTTTATAAAGGACACCAGTCAAAATTCATCAAAAAATTATTTTCGAAAATACATTTGAGTGATACATGATGTGATCCAGTTTTGTCTGTTGATTCCAAATCTGCTTTCATTTTCCATTGAAAATGTGTATAAAATGTGAAATATACAAAGTAAGTGGACTAACTCAGTACCGAACACCCATTTTTTCTCAATGTCTGTGCTTCCGCACTCGCAATCCACATCAACCTTTTTTTATACCGTACAAGATAGAGAATTGAATTCTACACAAAATGAAACCAAAATAAAATTTTAGTCTTTGATCATTTTTTGCATAGAATAGTTTTACTAACACCGTATCAAAATTGCTGTGTCAAAAATGTATCTTAATTTTGATGATAAAAAATTTATAACTTTTGAAGGAGAGAATATTTTTTATGAGATTTGTGCTATTTTGTAGCAGAGAATATTATATTAAAATATTATTTAGTTTTTCGAATGATTTTTGGTCTTCTTAGAATTACACAATAGACCAATAATATGAGCAAATGCGCGATCATTTCGCCTATCCAACAGTAAAATGCATTTGTCAAAAAATGTAGAAGAGCATTGAAAAAAATATTTGATGCGCCTTATAAATCTCTATCTTACCCTATAATAGAAAACTAATCACTTGAAATTTTAAAAACAAGCAGTTCCTTTCAAACGTAGTGTTTTTTTGAAAAACAACGTTTTATATGGCACATGCGAACTATTAAACATTATAAATTGAAAAAAAAAAGATATTTACCCAGCAATGTATGAAACACTCATTATCTTTTCTTGTTTATGTTACCAATTCCAATTTCTAATTATATAGCTGATGACGAAAAACCGTGACAAACGCCATAAGCTCTAAAGAAAAAAATTAAAAAGAAACCATTGAAAACAAGAGTTAATAATTGCCTATAATTTTTATCGTTAAAAACTATTTCACTCAATTTTATAAAAATAATCTTATATAAACTGAAAGAAAAATTTTCCGAGGAATAATGAACAATAAGAAAGGTCAATATGAGATTAAAAATAAGCTATGCATACGGAAATATTGACCTAAAAAAGAAACAATGACCATCATTTTTATGCATAATGAACGCAGATTTATAAGGGAAGAATCGCATGACAGGTAAAATATATGAATGTCACTATTTTTATTTTGATAATATTCTCACTCTACACATTATAAAATTACACATTTTTATCTTCCTTTTTGTTTTCTTGAAAAGAGGAAAAAAAAAAACCACTACAAATCTAAAAAATGATGATAGAAATAAATCATCAAATGTATCTCTTTTTTTTGAGTTGTTCAGAAATATAAAATGTCATAGTCTCCTCTTTTTTGTGTGTTTACCACTGAGTAAAAATATTATTTCAAGATTTTCCAGGTTCTTTTTTTTTTTTCTCTTACTGTTATTTTAAAGATTATTTTTCAAATAAAATGTAGTGAATCTAAGTGCTGTGAGCAAGTTATACTAAAGCTGTTTTTTTTTAACGAATTATACGATTATGTAATTAAAATGTTTGTAAACGGATTTAATAAATGATAAAAATGTCAAATTCATTTTAGTTCGTAAATTTAAAATAGAAGTTGTAAATGTAATGGAACAATGGGAAAATTGAATATTCGCTTCAAAATGTTCTCATGAGCACAGTATCAAACATGTCAATGATAATCAGGAATTTTTCTGGTATCTTTTTTGATATGATTCAATATTTTTTTTTTGCTTCTAAATATTTTGTTGAAATGCCATGTTGTATGTAGAAAAATGTTTTCCCTAGAAAACTAGAACCAAAAAATCAACATTGTCACAAGTGAAATATATTTTTCACGCGTGCTTACACACCATTTTATGATGTTCATATGTGATCATAGTTCATTTCACAATATTCACGGGTGTATACCTCGTTTTATATACTAAAATTTCTCCATGTAAAACATCAATACTGTTAAAAGGTCTCAATTTATAGAACAAACATTTTTCTACAATTTAACTTTTGAGTACAAAATGGATCCAAAAAGTTAAAAGTATCAAACAACAGAACTGAAAGAGCATCCAATAATTTTCCAATATTATAATTATGTGACAAGAAATATTTTGAGGAGATAGAATAGTTTAACTGGGAAAAAAAGGAATAAATGAACGGGCAGATCCATGTTGGCAAAACCAAAATTTTTTTGCATGAATCAAGTGAATAATGTCAAAAAAAATGCAAAAACATAAGTGATGGAACGAAAAAAAAAAAAGGTTATAAAAGCGAAAAAATGTTTTTTCAAATTTGTAAATAATTTGTTGTAGAAGAATATACTGAATTTTACAAGCGATGGGCGATTACAAGGATTTCTGAGTATGAGTACTGAAGATCGAGTATTTAGGATTCTAGCCGTACGAGTATTTTTTTTTCTTCTGAAGAAGCCAGTGAATTCGGAAAAATTTCCGAATAAATCGATTTTTTGATACGCAAATAGTAAAAAAAAAAGATCACCAATTTTTGGGGAAGTACTCGAGTAGTTTTTGGAATACGAGTCCCGAATACGAGTATAAGTACGAATAATAAGAATTTTGTCCATCTCTGAATTTTACTTTACAACCTTTTTTTCCTTTATGCCACTTATGTTTTTGAATTTTTATTGCGTGATCATGCAAAAACATGTTGTTTTGGCGACATGAGGATACTCTCCTACTGTTTTAATTCACCTTTTAATACTACAAAAGGTCTATATAAAGTTCTTTTGTTCATTTTAATGATATTATTGAATCTATCTCTACAAGAATAAGAAATATAAAAATATTTTGAACGTACGATATTATATGTGAATACACTATGGATATAAATTTTTAAAAATATATGTCATACTAATCTATTTAATAGGCATGACACCGAAATGCTGAACATTGTTCTTCGTGCATACATGATAGAGTTGAGTAAATGGTTTTATCATTTGAAATGTTACTGTGTAAGAACAATATTTTTCTTTAATGATCTCTACTAATCTTTCATTTCTTTCTTATAGCGAACAATCAATACTAATAATTTGTTTGCATGTTTAAGTTTAATTATCTATTGTGATATCCATTAGTATATTAGAAATCATCATTATTTTTTCTTTTTAAAATAAATCTTCCGTAGTTATTAGCACACATCCTCAAATCCTTCGTTTGCACAATTTTACTATCAAAACACAAAAAATTCTGTATTTTAGGCAGAGTAAAAGAGTTATATAAAAATCACATTCATGTTTTCACAGTTTTACTAAAATTATCTACATGAATCAGACAAAGTGCTATTAATTGTGTTAGTATAATGCTAATTGTTATACAATGTTAAACACAACTATCATTTTGTAGAGTAGATAGATCTTTATCAAAAATAAACCTGAGAATGAAAGACTGTTAATAAGAAAATCAACATTCGATATTTGCAACATAATTTTACAATGTTATTTTTTATTTCATTTCATCATTGCTTCAGTATTTGTCGAACAAGTCTTTCTAATGTAAATAAATGTTCATCGGCAGAATCATCTAGTGCCATTCGTCGCATTGCATCAGCTAATTTAAAAAGATATTCAGAATTTTTTCCACTTGGTCCTTCTGCAAATGCAATTTGTGTGGCTATTTGTTCCATTGATGCAGTTTCACCAGCCCAAAAAGGATTATCTGAATGTGCAAGATAACTTTCTACATCCAATGGGCTATTAAAACTATGATCAGTGATTTGATTGTCTAAGAAATAAAATTTTGTTTTAATTATTGTATAACCGTCTTTTTCTCGTTCATCGAGTATATGTCGAACAGTGTTTTGATCAGAATCTTTAATCAAATATGCCGCTCCCCAAACAACATCCTAAATAAAAAAAAAATTATCTCATAATTTGATAATAATTAGTCAGTCTCATTGAAAACAGAATGTTATACTTACATTATCAGAATTTGTTGGTATCAAACTTACGACGCGACCAGGCTAAACAGAGTAAGTATTTTAGATAAAACAAGCTAATGTATGTAAATAATTGAAAAAAAAATACACATTACCTTTCCTGGTACACCACGATGATCTTCTGACAATTGAAAAAATCTTCGTTTATAACCTTTCACATAGCCTTCTAATCTCATCATATAGGCGAAGTCAGGTCGCCAAACCAAGGAACCATATCCAAATATCCACATTGTTAAAATATTGATGAAGAAAATGGGAAGCTGCACATACTAACTAAGAAATTTTATCTATTTCTCATTTTCACTAAGGTCGAAAGAAAAACGCTAATAGAATTATGTATATTCTGAAGCAAACCAGAGGGTACTTTATGACTGATTTGTTCATAAGTATTTTATGACAAATTAATGTTTTTCACATTGAAATAAAAGTTTTCTAATCTCATTGTATACATAAGAAACAAGTAAATAATTCTCGATGTTAAGAAAAACACATACAGGTTTCTTAATGTATTTTAATCAGCTTCATTAGTCAATTGTTTATTAGATGGAGACGTCATCGAACTCTTATTAGCAGAGAAAAGTACGTTCTACAACTTATATTTTAACATAATCTGTGTAAAAAAAATTCTATTGTGAGTACATAAGCAGAGAAATTTGATTTTTATACTCAACTTTGTTTCAGTTTGACAACTTCGTTTTTTCAACCGCTTTTAGTTACAGAAAAGTTCAAACCTTGCAAGTTTGAATCTTTACTAAGATCGCATTTAGTTTATTTCTTTGACTGCAATAAACTCATATAATTTGTAGAAAATTATGAAAATACTTTTATCTTTTCTCTAGTTACGTCAGAATGACAATTAGTAAGAGAATCGTTAACAATATTCGGAGATCGACTCATGAAGAATATATACACTCAATACATTTTACATCTTGAGAGAAAAATTACAGAACTCCTGCAGCTTGTGCGCCTACCAAAAATCAGATAAAGTTTCCAGTCTTCAGATTTTTCTATCTCTGAAAAAGCGGTTGAAATATAAATTAAATATATAAGTAAATCAAGAAATGTGAAACGTTCATCAACAAAATCTGATAAGAGCCCGAAAAAAAGGGCATAGATCCCGTTTACAAAACTTTGTAAAAAAAATTAGAAATGATCCCAGTTAAAATATTCTACATTTTTTAATTCTGGTTGTTTGTTTAAGTGGACATTTGATTTTTCCAGCTAATATTAAAGAATTCTTGTTTACCACATAATCATTAGACTGTTGAAGACAAGCATATTCTGTCAAGTCATTTTGCATATGAAAAATCATGGTAAAACAATTTATTTACAGGTTAACAAGCGTATGAAACCTTTTTCGATCACTTCCTCTTTCATCGAAACTAGACACATTTAATTCTACTTAAATACGTCAAATATCCACCTAAACAAACAATCGAAGTTAAAAATTCAACATCCATTAACCGAGATCGTTTCTGCAATTTTATAAACAATATCAATTGTGCCATTTTATTCGATATCAACTTTATTTCTCTCTAGAGCTCACCACGAACGTCAATTAATTGAAAAGATAAATAATGTTAAATTTATGATGTATATGTTGTCGATAGGATACTATCTCATTTCAAAAATATCTACCTAATAATAAGCAAGATGAAAAAACAGGAAATTAGAATATTATAAAAAAAAGGTCATATTTCCTTCGAACTCTATCATGCAAATACAACCAATCTTAAAGAAAAGATTTACTAACGAGGGAACTATCCCAAGTGTTAATCACAGATGCTAACGAGAGGTAGCTCTATCGATTGGGGTACCTCTCGTTAGCATCTGTGATTAACACTTGGGATAGTTCCCTCGTAAGTGACAGACACCAGTTGTTATGTTCACTTTACAAAAAAAAAGAGTCTAACTGTTTGTTCAACTGTCACAGTATCATCCTTCTTATTAACTCATAACATCCAAGACACGATATTAAAGCAAATGATTGATTACTATTACTAGGGGGTTTTTTTCTATTTTATAAATTAATAATAATAAAAAAATGTAAATAAAAAAAACTGTTTGCAAGTGGCTTGAAAGAATTTTTTTGCGTAACAATAATGAAAGACCAAGTAAAAAAACGTGCAGAGTTGAGAGAAAACTCTCGCATAACGAGATTACGATTGACAAATACAATCAACAACAAAAAAAAAAAAAAATATAGCATGAATATTGCACATTCACATATATTTCGATTGTTTAACTATGAGATTCGGATATTTTTCGTTTTTCTCTTGGTTCTATTTTTAATTCACCTTCGTCTGGTTTTCCTGGCCGACCTTCTGAGGGAGCCTAATATAGGAGCAGATGAATTATAAATTAAAATAAATTATAAAAAATTAAGTATAATCTTACTGGTAATTTTTCTTTACTTGGTTGTACATTCCAAATATCGCGAGCATATTCGGCTATTGTTCTATCGCTAGAAAATTTTCCTGATGATGCAATATTTAAAATACATTTTTGTGTCCATTGTGCTTGATACTAAAAAGATATAACGTTTATATTTTAGTTGAGAATAACATTTCAAATATGAAATGCATACTTTAAACAATTCACCAACAGCGTCTTGTGTTTTAATATAACTCTCATAATCAGCTAATAACATATAACTATAAATGAGAAAAAACAAACAAACAAAAAAACAATCGCTATACTATACTAGTGAGATAAAAATAGAAAATTATTTTCTTACTGATCATCATCTAATAGACTTGATACAATGTCATGAAATAGATCATGTTGTTCAGGTGAAAATGTACCATTTTGAATTTGATCAATGACAGCTTTTAATTCTTGATTATTTTCATAATATTTTCTCGAATTATATCTAAAGTAAAAATAATCATTAGAAATAAAATAATATTCATCAATATTACTGACCCCTTTTCTCTTAATTCAGCAACTTCTTCAACTGTCATGCCAAAAATAAAAATATTTTCTTTACCAACTTCTTCTGCCATTTCGACATTAGCACCATCCAATGTACCAATTGTTAATGCTCCGTTCAACTGCAAATAACAACAGTAATTTACATTATTCTTATACAAATTATGTTAATAAGAAGTATACCATAAATTTCATATTGCCTGTGCCTGACGCTTCCATTCCAGCAAGACTTATCTGTTCGGATAAATCACAAGCTGGCATAATTTTTTCAGCTGTTTTTAAATGAATAAAAGAAATTATAGAACAAAGTTAATGTAGTAAACATTCAGTAACAGACCTAAACTAACACGATAATTTTCTAAAAATACCACTTTTAAACGATCACCAATATCCGTATCATTATTTATCACTTTAGCAACATTATTTATAAGTTTAATTATTTTTTTTGCAATTTTATATCCAGGAGCAGCTTTTCCACCTATCATAACTACACGTGGCGTAATTTGACTATTTGAATTATTTTTAATACGATTATATCTATGAAAAAACAATATCTTTAGTCATTATTAGCTTTATCATTTTATTATACTATTAGAACTTACAATGTAATGATGTGTAAAATGTTCAATAACTGTCGTTTATATTCATGCATTCGCTTTACTTGTATATCGAACATTGATGATGGATTCACTTTAATGCCATACTCATTTTTTATTATTCCAGCCAACTGCATTTTATTCTCCTAAAAACAAATTGAATAAAAATATGCTTATAATTAGCTTTAGTCTGATATCTTAAGATGACATTGAAGAATAATTGATCAAAAAATTGATTTTATTCATCGATATTTATCAGAAAATTATTGGACAAAATTTTTAAAACACTTAGAAGAGTCTGCAGAGGTAGCTTCTTATCAGCAAAACTTGGACAGCATTCCTCATCACGACATCATCTTCTAAAACTTATTATAAAAGCATGGGCTTTCGAAAAAAACAGCGTATTTTCAATCAGACTCGCGGAGAGAGCTCATCATACGTATTTGGACATGTTCACGTTCAGAGATGTACACAAAAAACAGTTCGATATATTCAAGAAAGCTTCTTCTCGTCTTGAATACTTTATGTTGAAAAATTCTGTGTGGTATTGTGACTAAAAACGTGTATGCATAAAAGAAATAGGAAAAACAAAAAGTGTAAACAAAGAATGTATCTTAAAGTTTTCTGTTCTCTCTCTCCATACAACGATCAGTCGATTTCTGTATAAGGCGTGTAAATTAACTGTTGTAATTGTTTGCTTCAACTGAAAGAAGTGATTATATTTCTATTTTTTGCCACTTTTTATTTTTATTTTTTTGTCAATGAACTCATGTAAATGTTAATTGTTAACCTTCGGGAACAATAAATTCAATATTAAAAATAAAAAAATAATCGATCAAACAAAGTTCATTATGTATAAAGTGCTATACTATAAAATAGCGAACGCCTTGGAGACGTTCTTACTCAGAAATCGGCATTTCATCAAATCTGAAGTATTAGACTATGTATATGAGTAGATAATGTGAAATGTCTACTTTCAGAATATCTATCATTTTTTAGCCTCTTTCATATTTTTGCAAAATCTAAGTAGAATTTTCTAAAAGCTCAAAAGCTAGAATTATTACAATTCAAATTTTTCTTTCTATATAAAGGATAAAATTTTGCCTCGTGTATTTAGACCTGTTGATAGGATATTCCTCTTCAAAATTCATTGCATACAGCTAAAAAAAAGAAGTAATGAATTCTTTTTTACAAATACAGTTTATTCTTTCATTAGTGTTAATAGCATCATTATCGTTTGATACAGCATCCAGTTCTCAACAGCAAAATAAAAAGAATAAGCTTTTTTTCTATTTAAAAGCTAAAATGATGATTCACAAAATGAAAGAAATCGATGTTTTAAATTTATTCTCAATTTTTCTGACGATGGCTCATCTTTGGTCATCGTCGTAATTTCAACTGTTGATAATTGATAATCTCTACATAGTGTGAACATTTCATTCTGATCTACATTCAACGCTTAAAAAATAACTTTATGAATAGAAATTTCTTACTTGTTTTACACGATGGATATCACGCACAAATGATTCATCATTTAAGAACTTTTTCAATCCTTGTAATTCTTCCAATTCTGTTATAAAACCTTCAGTAATTTTCTAAACAAATCAATAAACAAAGACACATGACAGTTATTGAACAGAAGAAATGTTATCGATTACATACAGCAGCAATAACATCAGCCAGATTTGGATTACTTAGCACCAACCAACGTCTCGGAGTTATTCCATTTGTCTTATTTTGAAATTTTTCTGGACACATTTCATAAAATGATTTAAATCTAAAATATACATATAACTAGTATGATTTTTGAACATTTCACTCTAAACTAACTTACAATTGACTTTTTAATAAATCTGAATGAATTTTAGCCACACCATTTACTGTGTGTGATCCAACAATGGATAAATAGCCCATATTTATTCGTTTTTCACCGGTTTCTTCGACAATAGATAATAATCTCAATTTATCACTATCATTTGGAAATTGTCGTTTAACATCCTAAAATGAAAGAAAACTACATATTAAAGAAAACGAAGAATTTAAGAAAGAATCGTAACAGAACAGCAACTACTAGTGAATAAATTTTATTGTCATTACACAAGTAAAAAGAAATCGTACTGAAGATTAGAAATGTTATGATGTAGCAATAGAATCTAATCAAAGATTGTATTGATCATTTAAACGTTCTTTTTGCAATGTACTTTTTAATAATATTCAACAAACGTTTATAATAAGTCCTATTACGAGAAAATTGTTCATTTTAATTTTTATTCTAACCTGTAAATGATAATAATTAATTTGATAAATAATTTGTAAATGTCGTGGTAAAACATGTTCAAGCAACCCGACAGGCCATCGTTCCAATGCTTCGGGCATTAATGTATGATTTGTGTAGGCAAATGTTCTACAAGTAATTTCCCAAGCTTCATCAAAACTCATTTGTTCAATATCAACTAATAGACGCATTAATTCTGGAATAGCAAGCGCTGGATGAGTATCATTCAATTGTATTGCCGCCTTAAAAATGATATAAAATATTTAATTTTAATCAAATTTAGACAAAAAAAATATTATTTTCCTACTTTGTCTGGAAAGGATGAAAAATCATTACGTGTAGGATCTTTTGCACCAAATTTGGAGTGTTTGAATCGACGAATAATATCTTTCAAAAATAAATATCAATCATATCGAGTGAATGGATTGACTTTTTTAAAATTTTTTCGTTTATTACCTTGAAGTGTAGCCGCAACTAGAAAATATTCTTGTTTTAATCTTAATTCTTTGCCACCTTGAAAATTATCGTTAGGATATAAAACTCTTGTTATATTTTCTGCCAATGATTGTTCAGCAACACTATTGATACTAAAAAGACATCATTCAAAATCCATGAACATTTGAGTTACTTTTAAAAAGAGAAAAAAACAATAATTTAATATATAATTGATACTTACTAATCACCATCATTGAAAAATTGAAAATTAAATTTTCCGGGTGCTCTTGCTGACCAAAGACGAAGAGTATTAACAACATTATTGTTAAATCCAGCAACTGTGAATAATTATAAGAAAATAAATTTTACAAGATAATTTTCACTCATATACATGAGGAGATTTTTATCTTACTTGGACTATCGTATGGAACAGCATAAATCACCTTTAAAATAATTAAACTTAGATAAAAAAATTTAGTTTTGTTAAAAGATTTTTTTTATTACGTGTGTATCAAGCCAACGTTTTTTGTCATTTTCTTCGATGACATGTCCATAAAAATTAACTGGAATGATGTATTCAGGACGTGCGATTTCCCATGGATTGCCATATCTCAACCAATCGTCTTAAAAGAAAATCATCGTGAATAATTAGGAGAAGAGAAAAGAGTTGTATTGTGATCACCTGGCTCTTCACATTGATAGCCATCTCTTATTTTCTGATTGAAAATACCTAAGAAAAATTAATAAAAATTTTAAAGGAAAAAAACATGAATAAATTAGTTATACACTCACCATAGTCATATCTCAAACCGTATCCGTAGCTCGCTAATCCTAACGTAGCCATTGAATCAAGAAAACAAGCAGCTAAACGACCTAATCCACCATTTCCAAGTCCAGCATCTTCTTCTAATTCTTCCAAATCTTCAATGTCCAATCCAAGTTCATATAAAGCTTCATCAATTTCTGATTCAATTCCTAAATTAGTCATTGTATTTGATAAACTTCTTCCCATGTAATATTCCATCGATAAATAATATATGCGTTTTGGATCTTTTTCGTAATAGTACTATTTTAATAATGACAGACGAAAAATAGATAAACAATGATCACCTATTTAATCTTTCTATTTACCTGTTGGGTACGAATCCATCTTCCAACTAAATGATCACGAACAGTATAGGCTAATGAATAAAAATAATCTCTATTAGTTGCTACATTTCGATCTTTAACAATTGTAAAATGAAGATGACGATTGAATGTTTTCTTTACAGCAGCTACATTTTCTAATAGTGGAATGCCACGAATTGAAATTTGTCTTCGACGATCTTTATCGCTCGGAATACGTGTCCCCGATGTCTAAATAAACAAGCGAAATTGCAGATAAAGTGCAGAGATTACTTGATAAAACTATCGTTTTCAATGGTCAAAGCGTTCCCAAACGATATTCTTACACCTACACCCAAATTTACACAAAGATGGAAAACATACACTAAAAGATGCAATTCAACGGGCCACACAACAAAAGTAGTAGCATAGCCACCGAGTGGGCTGAGGTGGACTGAACCTATCCACTAAAAGTTTTATTATTCACACTACTCTGCGCTAATGTCTACCACTTTGAAAAAAGCTGCTATGGCTGTGTGGTTAGGTTGTTTGGCATGTACTCCCAACGCACTGTGTCCGAGCCTCGGCGCCACCATGGAATGACCATGGACAAGTCATTAACGGGTGTTTGCCTCGGATTACCCGTCCGATAGCATGCTGACTACGTTGTGACATACACCAACCCTCGTGGCTAGTATGTGGTTAGTCAGTGTGTACGGGGAGCTCAAGCGATTGAGCGAAAGAACGCTGAGTCAGGCTGGCCTTCTGTCCAGAGCTACAGTTAGTATTAGTTATAGGGACAATATCGGGCTTACGAAACTATCTCCTGACAACGCCCTATACCGCAAGGTAGCCGAAAGGCGGGGTATTCTTTTTCTTTCGCTTTGAAAAAATTTGGGGTCACGCCCACCCACTAACAAAAATCCTGGCTACACCGCTAAACAAAAGCCTTATGTAGGGCTGAGAAAGTTTCCACTTTGTTTATTTAACGTTAACTATTCTTTTTAGTTATCGTTGTTCAACGTTAACGGCCCAGGACCGTACACAGAGGGTGGGGCATACAGGGCACGTGCCCAACGTGCCCACTCCTTGGGATTTCACTAGTGTATATCTGATAATAAAAGACTAAAATTTTTATATGAATATTCAGGCTAGTAAATATGGAATTTTTTCTAGATGTCCACCCCATACCAAAATTCCGGTTACGGCTCTGTAACGACCCGGTATTACTAACAGTCAAAATACGAAGGGAAACGTTCCCAATCCTAATTCAGAAGAATAAATTCAGTAAAAAGATAGAAACTCCTAGATATCTGACTAAATGCATTAACAAAGCAAAATACTTGAGTTTACGTTATAAAGTTGAACTTACAAGAAGATCCATACAAATAAGAGTATTTTCGTCAAAAGGTAGATTACTTTATTCGACTTTAGCTTCGATTAAATGCTTTGTTTGGAAAATGTAATCAAAAATGATGTGCACAATGTACAACGTAGTAATCGCGGTGGTATTATATATAAAACACGTGACGCTCTTTCTGTACTATAGGTCAGAAAAAAGTTTTTTTGTAAAAAAGAAATATTTTTTTCTCTTCCACCCTCTTCTCAACAATGTATCTCTTATAGTGCTTTATTTACTTTGGACAGATGAAAAAGAAGAATAGTACGGAATGACGAAAACTGGTGATAATTTATATACCCAGCGTTCTGCTATCTGCTGTAAAGTAAGTATCTGCAAAATAGAAAGAACATATAAAATACTTCGAGTTAATAATATAACCATATAAAGTAGTTCAATAAGCATTACTTGGCACATTCTTCTTCGTGATAAAAATGATTTGTAAATCCGAAACGGATAAAGACAAAGACAAAGAGTTAATATTGTTCTGAGTAGCTCATTCATATTTTAAAACTTCAATATTTGGTTACTCCGCTTTTGATGACATCTAACATTTTAGTTGATTATAACCCAAGTAACTTTGTGTTTACTCGTTTAAAATTGATTTAATTAGAGCCGTATCAAATAAGAGCTATCTTCTTTGCTTTTCTATCCTACACATGCTTCACGTTTCTCGTTCATTTCTCGAGAAGATGAAAGTTAGCTTTAGCGAATAAGAGCACATTCAACACAATCTTCTATTTTTTTCGATACACTAAACCAATTTTTTCCCTTCATTCGTTCTCTACTCCTAAGTGGAAAAGAATATTCACATGAGTAAGTGCTTTAATCAAATAATTGAATATATTGAAACAAAAAATTAGGATTAAATGCAATATAGAAAAGGAAAATAGAAGTACGTAAAGTGCCTTTACATCATCTATTTAATTTTGATTCTTTTATAAATTTTAAAAAGGTGCCCAATAATAAGTATCAAAAATTACACTGACAACTCAACCATTGTTCAAACTTGAATAATTTAGATATTTTGTTTGCTAGTTTATGTAAATGAATACAAGTCTAATAAGAATATTTAAACACATGCACAAAATGAACTACACACAACATATATTACAAACAAGTTTGAAAAAGAAACAGATTCTGTGTATAAGAAAAATACTTTGTTAAAAAACGAAAAAAATGTACGTTTAATAAAAAAAGAATAAAAATTACATTAAGTGTCCAACAGAGCTGCATTTTTTCCATTTTGTTCTATAACTGTTTCATACAAATAAAAATAACTTTCCTAATAAGTTTATATTTTTATGCATACAATTAATAATCTTGTCGTTTAATTTGGTCACTATCTTTGTCAATAGCTTCGCCTTCGAAGGGTGCGCCCGGTCTTCCTTCATGAGGTGCTAGAGAAAACAAAGAGATTATAGATGAGAACAATCACACTAAATAGAAAAAGTTTTGTTACCTGGTAATTTATGAGCTGTATTTGGTTCGACACCCCAGATTTCGCGAGCGTATTGAGAGATTGTTCTGTCACTGGAAAATTTTCCGGATGCAGCTATATTTAAAATACATTTCTTTGTCCATTCCGTTTGATTCTAAAACAAAAGAAGATGTCACTGAAAGAAAAGAAACTTTTTTTTTGGGACATACTTTAAATAGGTCATCGACACGTTTTTGTGCTTTTACATAACTCTCAAAATCGGCTAACAGCATATAACTAAAACATCAAGAAAATGTTAGTTAAACAGCGTTTCAAAAAATACGTAGTTTCCTCGCTATTCGCTTTAGAGATACATAAATGTAAAACAAATTGACATACTGATCTTTCCATTCTAATAAACATTTAACAATATCTGAAAATAATTCTGGATCTTCGGGTGAAAATATACCATCACGTATTTGATCAATGGCTTTTTTCAATTCGGGTATTCGTTCATAATATTCTTGTGAATTGTAACTAGAATAAAAACAACAGATAGTTGCTATTTGAATATATCTCTGCTATCGATTTTATACTCACCCTTTTGCACGAAGTGCATCAACTTCATCGACAGTCATACCAAAAATAAAAATATTTTCTCTACCAACTTCTTCATCCATTTCAACATTAGCGCCATCAAGAGTTCCGATTGTCATTGCTCCGTTTAACTATAAACATGAGAAAAAAAATGTAAAGAATGAAGATGACAACATATATAAAAATCAACATACCATAAATTTCATATTACCTGTACCCGATGCTTCCAAACCAGCAAGACTAATTTGTTCAGATAAATCAGCAGCTGGCATAATTTTTTCCGCTAAACTAACACGATAGTTTTCTAGAAAGATAACTTTTAATCGATCACCAATAACTGGATCATTGTTAATCAACCGTCCAACACTATTAATCAATTTGATTATTTTTTTAGCAATCATATACCCAGGTGCTGCTTTACCACCAATAATAATTGTTCTAGGAACTACTGGAGCAGTTGGATCATCTTTAATGCGATTATACAATGTAATAACGTGTAAACAATTTAATAATTGACGTTTATATTCATGAATACGTTTCACTTGTACGTCAAATAATGAAGCTGGATTTACTTGAACACCATAATCTTTTTTGAATAATTCAGCCAATCGTTGTTTATTTTCCTATAGAAAATAAAAATTAATGATAAAATATTCATACCTATACTGTATAATTCTCATAGTACATACTAATTTGACACGATGAATATCACGCACAAATGCTTCATTGTTGATATGTTCACGTAATTGTTTCAAACCATCTAAATTTGTTATCCAGTTTTCACCAATTTTCTAGAAGAACACAGACATATACATAGTAAGAAAAATTAAGATCGTGTGTCTCAGTCTCGGCTGATAAAATAGATTTAATGTTTTGGGATGAAAACGGGTGTTGTCACGCGCTTACACCAGCAATAACATCTGACAAATCGGGATTACACAATAAAATCCATCGACGAGGAGTAATTCCATTGGTTTTATTTTGAAATTTTTCTGGTGATAACTCATAAAAATCTTTAAATCTAAGAAAAAACAGAGAGTATAAAAGTAATTACGCGATCTCTTTCACTTACAATGTTGCTTTTAACAGGTCACTGTGTAATTGTGCTACTCCGTTCACAACATGAGATCCGACGATTGATAAATATCCCATGTTGACTACTTTATGTTCATCTTCAACTATCGACATTCGTTTGACCCTTTCTTCATCATTGGGCCATTTTCGTCGTACATTCTAAAAACAAAATATTCATCAAAATAAACTCGCACTTACAATGTCTTCATTCAGGTTTAGAAGAATTCGAAAGCTCTAGAAATACTAACAGCTAGATGATGTAAATTAATCTCCGTTATTATTTGTAAATGTCTTGGTAACAATGTTTCAAATATGTCAATTGGCCAGCGTTCCAAAGCTTCTGGTAATAATGTATGATTTGTATAAGCAATTGATTTATTTGTGATATTAAATGCTTCATCCCATTGTAAACCTTCTTCATCGATTAATAAACGCATTAATTCAGCTACGGATAATGCTGGATGAGTATCGTTTAGTTGTATAGCAGCCTAAATGAACAGATAAAAGACATTATTTTCTACTTAGAATAAGAAGGAGATTTTTAGGCATACTTTTTCGGCAAATAGGCTAAAATCGATCTTTTTGCCTGATTTAAACGATTTTGAGTGTTTGTATCTTCTCATTATGTCTTGTAAACTAGCCGATACTAGAAAATACTCTTGTTTTAGACGAAGAATTTTTCCTTCAGTAAACTAAAATATAAAATATAGAGAGAAAATATTCCCAATAGATATTCTATTAGTCTTACGTTATCATTCGGATATAAAACGCGTGTTATATTTTCGGTTAAACTTTGTTCAGCTACAGCTTTGATATAATCACCCGAATTAACTAGACATAAATATAAAATCAATTTAGAAGTTTTAGCTTTCTGTATTGTACGTACATAATTGAAAATTGAATTTGCCTGGTGCTTTTGCACTCCATAAACGTAACGTATTGACAATATTATTATTGTATCCAGGAATCGGTGTATCAAATGGCATTGCATGAATTACCTGTAAAAGAACAACAATCGCTCGTGAAAAATTTAAAAAAATGGTGATCAAGAATAATTCAAGCACGATTCCTCTGTACTCAATGTGTACTGCAAGAAATTATCTGTTGAAAATCTCTGAGTGAGAATCTGATTATGAACAAAGTTAAAAAATAAAAGAATTCAATAACGTACGTCTGTATCAATCCATTTTTTCTTCCCATTTTCTTCGACAACTTTTCCATGGAAATTTACTGCCAGAAGAAATTCAGGTCGTGCAATTTCCCAAGGATTTCCGTATCGTAACCAATCATCGGGATATTCTTCTTGAAAACCATCTTTGATTTTTTGTGTAAAAATACCGTAATCATATCTGAGGCCATAACCATCTCAAATATTTAAAAAATGGTATTAATGAAAACAATCATGTAAACAAAAGAATCACTTACAACTTGCGAGACCAAGCGTAGCCATTGAATCCAAGAAACATGCAGCTAAACGACCCAGACCACCATTGCCTAATGCCGCATCGTCTTCCAGTTCTTCCAATTCTTCAATATTTAAACCCAATTCATACAAAGCTTCATCAATGTCATTTTCGATTCCAAGATTAATCATTGTATTCGAAAGTGTACGACCCATGTAAAATTCCATTGATAAATAATATATTCGTTTTACATCACATTCGAAATGATGTTGATGTGTTCGAATCCAACGGCCAACCAGATGATCACGAACGGTATAAGCCAACGAATTATAATAATCACGGTCAGTGGCTACATCACGATCTTTGACTACAGTAAAATGTAAATGACGATTAAATGTTTTTTTCACTGCTTGTACATTTTCCAACTGAAATAAATTTGAAAAAAAAGTTCTCAAGGTATGAAAGTAAACTGTTTGTTTTACACACCATTGGCAAACCACGAATACTAATTTGTTTTGATTTTTGTTTGAGAGAAACATTTTTCATTGCTGCTGCTTTTTTATCATCACTACCAACAACACTCTCTTTAATATCCGAAATGCCATCAGATATTATTGATGTTGTTGTTTTTAATGCAGATTTCTAAACAAACAAATAGTTTTCAGGAGTACATAGATCTGGAGAAAGTACTGCCAATAATAGAATAGCCATAGTCATGCTACAAGCTAAGGAAAAAGTATGTTTTTATCATTCAGTAAATGATAGGAAGACTAAACTAATCGGAAGAAATTTTAGTTTCCCTCATTAATTGTACAAAATTATTAGTACAGTTCTGCAGTTAAGCATTAAATTAGGGAAGTATTCCAGGTGGAGTGTGTTAGGAGCGAAATTTGTTCGAACTATCGAAACTTGCGTATAAAGAACGAGCCAGAGAATTTCACAAATTAGTTTGAAGGATATTTGGCGGAGCTTATCGGAGAAGTAGCCATTAAAATGAGTGGTAAACGAGAGAGGTCAGGATAACTTACATTTATATACACATTTCAACACAAGTTGTAATATTTTTTATTCAGAGATGGCGTCGAATCGAGCTGAGATGAAATCTGAGTCTTCCCACGGCTTAACTTGATGAACCAACAGAAATTGAAAGTAAAGATGGGATTAGCTGAATGGAACTATACTATCTACTATAATTATCTTTCTAATAGCAAATTCCTGATTTGTTCACTCGAGGGGAACAAAAAAAAAACGCCATTTATATTCTAAAAATGCATCTTCTTTCATGATATTGCGGTACAGTCTAAGTTTTCTGATTCGCCAAAGAAGTCGATACTGTGTCACATATGGAGATAAAGTGTAGAACTGACATGCATACGAACATGGCTATGCGTTGTGCATGAACGTAAAAAATCCTGGTAACTCGTTATCCGCCATATCTGAACTGTACTCAAATTTCTGTCACTCAATTTTATATGTCCATGCTATGATATACTGCAGTATTGATTCCAATAAGTACCAAGAAGTTTAGTAGAAGATAACCAAAAGAAACAGAAAAAATTAGCAGATAGGTGAAGTAAAGTTTTTGTCTGATAACGTGGAAATACCTAAGGTCTTTCGTAACAAGACACGGTATTTTAGATCGATATAACTTACCAATTGTTCCATGATTTTGACTACTAGAATTGATCTTTGTTTGCTTGCTAAAACAAAACAGACTGTTTGGTCGTTTGTTGCAATTACTATACTTTACACTTTGTAAGCAATATCGTAGTGCAAACCGAAAAGAGTTTTGCTTTATAGAAAAATTGAAAGCTCTTGTACTGTGAACGGAAGAATCGCGCAAAGTATTACTTTCAGTCCTGAAACGTATGTACACGTGAACATGCAACGACTCGAACAGTCCTCCTTTTTCCACAAAACAAGAGAAAATAAAAGAGAAAGAGGTTATATATTTTCTTCATTCTGAGAAGTATATTTCTCTATCACGCGGTAATCGCATGTCTACTTCCCACAAAAAGTTGTAGCTGTATAGCTATATATTATGTCATGTAGAGGAAGAACGATGATGTTATTGAAAACATAAATTTTGCGTTTCTTCATCACCAATCATTGAAAATATAGAACAATACTCTTGGACTGTTGCACTCTTGCACTCTAACACACCATAGCGTATTAATACTCAAAATCACAATCTTTTAGCTTACGAGGAACATATCCAACTGTCCGACACCGTTCGACTCCATATTATGGCTATGAGTAGTTCCCTATTGTATATTTACCTAAAGAACAAATTACGGACGGAATTTCGACCTGGAATTTTACCCATAGATAGGTTTAATGACCATTTGGATTCGAAAGTTTCAGCCAAAATGAATGTTCTCTTCTCGATATATTCAATTTTCAAAAAATAGTCGTTTCCCACAGACAGGTGGCAAAAACCGGGTTCACTAATTCAATATCTCGGGAAAAGAACATTCATTTTGGCTAAAACTTTCGAATTTTAATGGTCATTAAACCTATCTATGGGCAAAATTTGATGTCGAAATTCCGTTCGTAATTGGTTCCTTCGGCAAACACCCAGGAATAGATCGAAATTCAGGAAAACGATCATGACTCTTGTCCAATAGGCCATGGGGACGAGCCCTTTAGTCTCATAGGAATCTACTCGTATTACACTAAAAGAACGTGGAAAGATCCCTATATATAAGTAGCACGCTTATTGTCTATATTCAAGCTAATGCTTTCTAATATTTATTGCGAGTTATCAAACGTATTGAACAATAAAAGACGGCCCAGATGGAATCGTAGTCTTAGTATTTTCTGTTTTTCTTCTTTCTCTTAGATCATAAACTGTTGATTTTCTTACCAGGAGATTTCCGTTCATTTCTGTACAAAATACAGAAGATGATCCTGAGTTTTGAGACGCTGTCTGAATTAAACAGAAATCGAAATATCTTAAAAACGTCAAAATTTGAATTTTTTCGACGATAATTTTGAATTTTTGAACTCCACTTTGAAAGTGATAGAAAGAAGATCTCAAATCATTTCTCGGCACATTTTCCAAATCAGCTCGATTTCTTTTTTCTATTCGAAAATGAATTTTTCATGATGATAATGCGCTGAATTATTATTTGCATTTTCAATCAAATTCACTTCGAATGTAATCTCGTCAATTCAAACTGTTTGACCACTTTTCAATTCCTTATTCTGTTTCATCATTTTAGCCTTGTATATTTTTTTGTAATTTATTCTGCTTATAGTTAAGCAAAGTGGCTGATACATACCTCCATAAATAAAGGACAAATTGAAAGGGTCTCCTCCATAAGAACTTTTATTTAGATTTTTCGGCAGCAGTGAATGCTTTTCTTTCGTTAAATTATCAAAAATTATGCTATTAAATACATATACAAACTTTAGTTCAAAGATGCTGTGGTACATGTGAAGAGAAAAGAGACTAAAATTTGAAATATAAAGGCGAGTTTTAACTCTAGTTTCGGTTGAAACTGCTTTTACATGAAGAACGCAACAAAAACTGCTTCATTTGAATTTTTTATCTCTCTGGACAAAATATAAAATCTAGGACTTTTATTGTACCGATCTCTTTATATACAGAGTTGTGTATAACCTTTTGCTAGGGCGGTACAGCTCCAGCGACAAATGATACAAAAATGAATTATGTACTAAATGAAAGCTCATTGAAAACGGGAATATCGGGTATAACTAGTAATCCATAGGCTGACTATGAACTATAGAATTATGGAAGTTTCTAGCGGGTGCGTCACTTCTAGGTACAGTGGTGCTGTCAGTAAAAGTCCTATAACTTCATTAGAACAAAAGCCATCGGATTTGTTTTGTTTTGATCAGAAATAATTGCTCTTTACTACCGAGCTGCAAAATCAAAATTTCGATGGTGTTTTCTGTCTTTTTGCTTGGGCACATTGTTGAAAGCAGGGAAAATTTTGAAACTTCGTTCTTCAGGATACCGTCTGCTTTAAAACGTTTTTTTTATAGACCACGAGAAAGAGCATATTCAAACGTACAAACAGAACCGAGTGCTCACTTTTGCTACACTTTTTACGGAAATGATAACAGAAGAAAAAAGTTCAAGTCGAAAAAAATACCAAAAATACAGAGTTTTCAGTTTTTCCACCTTTCGTATAATTTACGTAGTTCTCGTGATTGAAGTTCTAAAACTAAAGTTTAGGGATGGTTTTGTAGAGTATTTCGTGGCGCATCTTTTAAAAAGAAACACTAATCTTAGAATCCTAAAGGAACATGAGAAAAGTAGAAAATACTACTAAAAAATAGAAACTTTCATAATTCTATAGTTCATAATCAACCTATGGCTTATCAGTTATACTCGATAATTTCGTTTTCGATGAGCTTTCATTTGGTATATAATTCATTTTTATATCATTTGTCGTTGAAGCTGTTATGCGCAACCCTGTATATAAATACTGCATCATCTCATGTCTTTTGTTCATGCGTATCATTGTTCGTCAAATAACGGTGCAATCAAACTAAAAGAAAAATGCTGAATTTCTGGATGAAACGTTTTCAAATAGAAAAATCATTTTTCCAACCCATTTAATAAATGGCTCACTCACTTTTTTGTGATTTTGGACTTGAAAATGATGATAAAAATAACAGTAACGGAGGAATCAATAAAAGGCGCGTAATCATTCTTGAATGGGATCCCGGTGGAACAAACCATTGGCTGTAGTACGCAGTAGAGATATTTCTTGTAAAAAGAGAAGATACGTTGAAATCAAACTTGGCGTTCATGAAGAAACAAAGATAGACAAACCAGCAAAACAAGGAATTCAGCACTAGAAAAAATTATAGCAACTATTTGCTTTTGATTTTTCTCGTTGACCATCCACCGTGGGTAGCCGGACACACATTAGGTGAAAAATCGAAAGTATGCTTTTCCTGATTCAAATAGTGGAATTCAATCTATGGGCTATTTAATGGCACAAAAAGTTTTGTTCCTAGTTTTACTCATCGTAGGAAAACACATAAACCAAAATTAACTTGATAACATAGAGTCATGAGTGAATTTTAAAATAAAAGCAATACCGATTATGAATCTACTAGACTCATTTAGTTATACAACAGTAAAAACAGTTTTGTGAGAAATAAAATTGTTTTTCACGGTATGTGACTTTCTTTACAGTTGTCCCGCGTGTACTATAGTTCCAAAATTTTCCAAAGTTTCAAAGATGCTCAAATTCTGCCAAAATATTTACCTATATATACTAGTGTATACAGAGAGCACAAATGCTCCTACAGTGTGTGTACAGGATTTTTTTCCCAAAACTCTTGGCTTTTCAGCTAAAATCTATTTTTCTCAAGCCAGGAACACTTTTCAGAAAAAGTAAGACCACATTCAGAATCAGTGTGTCGAGTTACATCGAGCCATAAATAACACAATAAGTTTTGAATCGAATAATTATCTACCGAAATTTTTTCCCATGAACGAGCAAGACAGAATTTTCGAAAAAAGTAATGTTTTCTTTAAAAGTATTAGAGATCAGTACGCAACGATAATCATTCGTGAAAAAATGGTTTACGAGCAAAAAATTCTGATGTCCGCCTGCCAGAAAAATTTGGAAAAATGCCCACTGTGTGAAGATTTCATCTGAAATCAGGATTTCTGGAATACCTACATCATAGAAAATCGAGTCTCTGAAAGTGATCGAAACACATTTTGTTAACAATGCTGTCGTGTAAAGCAAACATTTCTGAATAAAATGAGACGTTTCCGAGGACTCTCCGACATTCTTTCATGAAACAGCATCCAACTTAGGGCAAACGACCCAAAGGTAATTTTTTGCTGTTTTCTGTTCTTTTCCTATCGACTTTGGTGATACTGGCAGTTTGAGTCGTTTACACTAAGGTGGATGCTGTTTTATGAAAAAACGTCGTAGGGTGCTCGGAAACGTCTCATTTTGTTCAGAAAGTTTTTTGCTTTATACGATCTTATTCAAATCTTGTTCTACAAATTATGATCGAGGAGAAAAAATCAAAAGCAAAGCGTTGTTATAATATTTTCCAGCACTGTATTTTATTTGCAAATGAGTAGAGTTTCCAGGACTACGTATATCTAGCTTGGAACGGGTTATTGTAGGAGAAATGTGTCTTTTCTCATTTGCATAACTGATATTTCTTGTTTTCCCTGATTTGTGCAAACTATAATATATCTGGCTTTCTACCAAGTATGGTTTGTGAACAATTAATCTCGCACAACAACAGGACTAGATATTGCGACAATCTGTTTCCAAATGAAGATACTGAAGATAATAATCGTTCATGTCCATCACTGGATAGAAGGCTTAAACGAGATCAAAATTTGGAACGATCAATATTAGCGAAAATTCAATCAAATGAGTTTTATCATTTGCCAGGGTAAAGAACCCTTTTCTCTTTCTCTCTGATTTAGCATCTACTCGTCTGATTGTATGTCCCTCTTCTAGTTATCAGGGCTATATACCTCAAGAATCATATATGTCTGGTTATGGAAAAAGTGAAATAAGTCGTCAAGTATTTCGAAACCCGGCCATCAATACAAAACCAGAAAAATTATTTTCAAAAGTGAGATATGTTCGAGATGGTGATGCCATTCGGGAAGAAGAAAGAAAAAATGCGTTAGAAATACGGCAAAGATCGTTTGCAGACAGAATTTATAAACCCCATATAATTGTTTCAGGTTACACAGGTAGAAAGCGAGACTATTATTCTCATCAGTTACTAAAATAAATATTGTGAAACGTTGTTTGTGTAGGACATATACCTCGATTCAGTGAAAAATTTGGAAAAAATGTGAAAGATTTATTTATAGATGGTTGGTATTGCTATTTTTTAACCGTTTTCACACTGATTTACAAATGTTAACATTGTAGCCATTGCAGATTTCGAAGATGATCAAGCAGTTGATCGATACGCAAAGCAGGATTTTCAATTACAAAAACAATTTGATAAAAGACAAATAACAGAAGCAGATTTACCGAATAATTCAATTGTAAATAATGAGAAAGGATTCTATGCCAAGATTATTAAAAGTATTTTTAATTTTTCTGAATAGTTACATTATGCACGCGAAGCAATGCCATTAATACCAATTAATCAAAATTCTGAGCCATATGTTTCATATGAGAAAGATTGGACGAATAGTGTTTATAAAATGTCGAATGATGATTCCGACAAGCGTTTTATTAGTGGTCTGTAATTGAATAAACAAGTCTTGGATGTAAACAATCACTTTTTCCCATACAACAGGTTATCAAGGGTTTGTACCACGATTATTATATAAATTCGGAAAATCCTATGCCAGGATTACAAACGATGCACTGAATGATTTTACCGACACATACCGTAACAATGTCGTCAACAAAGATCTTAACCCATCCTTCAGACTTATCAAAGATAAACCAGTAATCCACGATCGACATCCAATTTATCCCTGTCACAGTGGTCTAACACCACAATATATGGGAGATGTTCCAGGTAAATGAAATGGCCATCTCCTTGATTCTGATGTCAAGGGAAATATTTTTTCCTTATCTTTCAGGTTTAAAATTTCAATTTGGTGGTACTTACGGGTCACAAACGGTGAATGCAAAACAACATCTTCTCCCGAAAACGTATCTACTTAATCCAAAAAAGATTCGATGTTATTGTTGAAAAGAGCGTATTAAACCGAGATCAACATGCACTTGCGTATAACAGGGAAATATTGATCTTCGTTCACTTGAGATAAACTTTATCTCAAGTGAACGAAGATCAATATTTCAGCTGAGCTGAAAATATTTTTTAAAGTATGTGTAATGCATCTTCTTATTCTGCTAGAAAACTGAATATTCTGGGTAATATTGAACATATAATTGGCGTGGTTCATTTGATGCATAGATCAATTTGGTTCGTGTCTGCTTATATCCACTTGAACTTGATTTTATTTTACAAACAAAGCTAACTTTACGAAGAAAAAGCTGCTGTAGGTACAGAGGCGACAGACGATTTCAAATGAGGCAAGCTCAGTTTAAGGCATTCCTCTGTGAAATGAATTTTTCTCATATTTTTGGTTATTAATAAAAACCAGAGGTATATGTGATAATAGTTTTTAGTAGAAGAAATAAAATTTGTCAGCCTAAAAGGCGCCTTTTGTGCTCTTTGCTTCAAAAAAGGTGAGAATTTAAATACGTTTTCTCGATTAAACACTTCTAATATGTATTAGCGAAATGAATTTAGGGCTGTGACAGTTACCGGTAATGGTAACTATTGAACAGTTGTCGTACTTGGTAACGGGAACTGGCGAGCATGTGTTCAACAGTTACCGCTATCGAGTAAGGGTGGTAACGGTAACTGGTAACTGTGACAGCCCTACTATAGAAATAGACGTAAGAACTACACACTTCTGATGGTCAACATTGGTCAACATTTTACAGTACGTATAGAAATAGTCGTAAGAAGTTATACACTTCTGACTTCGTTAAACACACGTTCGACAGTTACCGTTACTTATAACTGGTCGTTATCGTTACTTGTAACGGTAACTGCTTACCCGTTACCGTTATCAGGAACGGTAACGGACCAACAGTTATAGTTAATGTAACGGTAATAGTAACTATCACAGCCCTAGAAAAAGGTCAATGTACCGATAGTCTGTCCGATCATAGTGAACGGCCAGGATAAGGTTTGGAAACGTGTAAGGCGGCAAATAGATTCTGACGCGTTTCCTACAGTTCATTTTAAGCTATTTTCTTGAGAATAAATCTCATTTCTGTTTAAAAGCATGAGAAATACACCATCGAAGGCAGTGAAAAACTCATAGCAACTAAAAATATCAAAAGATTTTATGCAGGAATGCTTTTATCACCTGCTAGGAGTAAGAAAGCTAAATGGGCTGAGCTCAGTTTAGTTACCAAGGAAAAGTGTACCTTGAAGCACGAAAATCGGAAACTGGTATACATACAGGCTCATAAATTAATTGAATGATGTCGAAATTAATACAACTTAGAATTAGGTTTACAAACAAAAAATTAAGGAAATGTTTTTGTAATGTTTACGTGGTTCTTATTCCTAAGAACTCTATCTCAAACTCGATACGTCCAGAGGGGAAATGGTCAACTGTTCGAATTATGAACGCGGTGTGGGGTAAAACTAGTAAACTTACTTCTTCATCCGGCACAGTGTGCATTTTTTTATAGACCAGGCGGATATTTGCTATAGAAACAGTCGGAAAGTCTATAAACACGTTTTTATAGGTTTTCAGATATGCTCTTTCCAATAGTATACTTTACAAAGTTCAAAGGGGCTTTCAGCTGGGTTCTCCAGAGATCGGGTCTCAAGAAAAGCTACACATAAGTGTTTTGGAACTTTATAAAGTGCACCATTGAAAAGAGCATATCTGAAAACCTATAGAAAAAGTGTTTATAGTCTTTCGGACTGCTTCTATAGCAAATATCCAAATTCTTAGCCAAAATTGTCATGCTATGCTTCAACTTTAGCGTTTCGTTAGATCCAACAAGGCACTCTGGCAAAGTTTGATTCAAATCTAAGGAGGGATGTGAAGGGGGTTCTCATTTTACTAAATTTAGCCATTTGGAAAACCACTTACGAAAAATTTTTATTTTTTTTTCTCAACATTCTTTAGCCCAAACTGGAAGCTTTTTACTAATACACACTAAATGATGCGGAGATTCAGAATTAACAAAACATTTGCTTACTATACTAGTTATTTTTCTGTAAAATTAATTTTTCTGATCATCATGCTATTTTCAGGCTAATTTTTAATTAGCTGATTTTCCACGCCAGAATCAGCTTGAACTTCATAACAAAACTTCTAACGCCATTAAATAGCCCATAGTTTGAAGTATATATTACACTGTTTAAATCGTTCATAAGTCAGTTTTTATATTTTCACCTAATGTCCGCCTGGATGCACACTGTGTCCGGGTACTCCGAAATAGGAGAAATTTCTAGAGAACTGCCATTTCGCACGGCAACTGTGTTGCAGATACATAAAACAGAAAGCAGTCGAGAGCCAACAGAAGGAGTTGTTGCAAAGCTTCTGCTAAACTCTCGTGTCCTCCAAAACACCATTCGCAGCCCGGTCTATATTCCTGAAACATCGTTGAATGGTGAGCCTGTTAGAAGTGGTTCGCCAAGACTCTCCTTCGCTCCTCCACTCTAAGACCTCGCAGGGCACACCTTTTTCTTCCTCTGTAAGCAGGTTCATATAGAAATGATGGCACTGACTGTAAAAAGACCTAATTCATTCTTCATCAATCATTCTCCCTGATTATGTCATTTCTGTTTCGATAATTGACTCTATAAGCCAACGCAGCACTCTATATAACCTAATTTCTTTACTAAATTTCGCCAAACATATACATGGTTTTGAGAGCACATTCTCTCGCTTTATGCTTATCTAGACGTTATGTGAAGATTAGCAGCAACTTGCTCTACTCATCCAGATCTAAAAATCCGGAAAGCTTTGGTCCAGTGACCTTGAGAACCCCTGGCATATCACCCACAAAAAATTAAAGTATGTTTAGAGTTAAAAAAAAGTTCCTTTTCGTATTCAGCACACTCGATAACCTCGAAAATTTTCTCTTTTTAGCGAGGGGTACCGTCAAAAAGTTCAGAAAAATTTTCAAAATTGTATAATTTTGCCATGGAGATTTTTCTGCGTCAATTTAATTGAAAATTTTTCTGAACTTTTTGACGGTTTAACTCTAAACATACTTTAATTTTTTTTATCGATGATATGAAAGAGGGAGCCCTCTTAAAGCTTCGGAGTTTTAATAGGATCGCTCACAAGTCCCCAGTTCATTCAACTGACAGGTTCGGTTTTCACCGTAATGCTATGCATCTAATACCAAGACGTTCCTATTGTTATTATTAAATTTAAAATTATCAAGCGAAAAGAGTTTTTTTATTGAATGGGAAAGGTCATAACGAAAAATTTGTGCTTATCGAGGTAAGTAACAAGTTGTTCGTACACGAAACGTTCTTGCACTCCAGATGTTTACTGAAGTTTATTTCATCTCTCTCCATGATCGATCACGTTTTTATCCCAGTTATCGCCAATAATTTCAAACGAATAACGAATAACGATGC